GGGTTAGGTTTCCCAGCACGATATCTAAGTTGCTCTGTTGATAATGAAGAACTCTGGGAGGTTTGTAAGGGTGGTAAACACCTTAAATGGCACCACAGGTTATGAAACTGTAATTCAGATATCCTTGATGAGTCTGCTAATTTTTTAATGCTGTTGTTTAGCTCTCTTTGACACAAATTGCAGGTACATAAAGCGTTTGCTTTGGCAAAAGGGCTTATATGTGCATATTTCACTTCAACACCTTGCAGTTTTATTTGTTTATTTTAAAATGCAATGAAATGTGTTTCCATCTGCAATAAGTCATTTAAAAAGTAGAAATATGCATGATCAACCTTAAATTCTACAAGCATCTCAATGACATTTGATTATGCTGCCTTCAATTTAAAGTCCTAATATGCCAAGTAAGTCCAGTCTGCTAAGGGGAGACTTGGTGGTTTTGGTTTGCCAGGTCTTGCATTCTGTTTTAGAAAATGAAGAGGTGGAAGAGGAGAGTGTGTCTCTTTAGTAAAGCTTTCATTTGCAGATTGATTTTCCTGGCTTATCCTTTCCCACAGAATAATGACTTTTTACGATTATATCAGTATTCATTTCCTGATGGCAGAGCTGAAGATAGCAGACTAGTTCCATTGATTGGCTTCTATCTGGAATATGAGTATTTTAGACAGCAAAAACCCTTTAGCATTTTCATCCTGTTTCTCATAGTGAGCAACTGCTTTACTGGTTTCATGGTGGTCACTCTATAACAAGCTTTGGGGGGTTGTGTTTAAGACAAAAATAGTAATTTGTGGTAATGAAGCCAATCACTAGTGGTTATAGAAATGTTACTATGACAATTGGGACCATTGCTGCGAAATACTATGTCATGCTTTTTTTTTGGTGACCTGGCAGCTTATGAAAAGCACAATAGTGCAGTATGGGGGAACACCTGAACCCTTGGGCAAGCTCTTGGAAGGGTTTCTGGTTAACAGTATCCAAAATTTGCACAAGAAGCGAGTGTGTCACGCTGTGTGGTCTGTCACAAACTCTCATGTGCTTAAGGTATTTTACTGCTATTGTCTTACTGGCTTTCCCTAAAAAAAAATAAATATGGCTTTGATGTTTTATGGCTGCCTGAAAACGCCCTTTTTTTGTTGTTGTTTTTAGGCTTTGAGACAAAGGGTAGATGATGAAGGGAACATTGGGGACAATGGAATGAGATATAGCAAGACATTAGTGGCCATGAGAGTCAATTGTAGGGTGAACACAGAATAAAGCAGAATCTGAGAGTGAAGAAGTGATATTATAATAAAATGTTGGCTTGAAATGGGAAAAAAAAACCAGGATGCATAAAGAGGCTGGAAAATTCATGTAAAAGAGGGAAATAATTATACCAGCTATACAAGAAGGCTGTGAGATGAAAATACCAGAAATTTCAGGCTGAAAAAGAAAAAAAAATAATCTTAATACAAAGATTTATTTGAGGACCTCATCAAAAGACTTAAATATACATCTGGGTTCAAGGACCTGTGTCAGGACAGATGTTGCAATTCACGTAGTTTATGGCCTCATGCAAAGCCTTCTGAAGATGGTGGAGCAGTGTCCATTGTACACAATGGGCTTTGGGTCAGAGCTCTGAGAATGTTTGACCATATGCTAGAGAGAACAGCAGAAATATAATGTATGGAGAACCTTCCTGCCATCAGTAAGAAGATGGCTTAGCTGATTTAATAGCTTTTTCTCAGTCTGTGATTCTAACAGCCAGGTTTGTGGTATTTATTTTAGTATTCATGTTCTTGCAGTCCTTTTTACATTTCTCTGTTTTTCCCTGGCAGACATCCCGCAGCTCCATAAGTCTGGGGGAAGAGGATGGTTAGCGTGTTGTTGCTGTGGGGATTTGAGTTTTAATGCTCTGTGTTGGTAATGCTGGGCATATAATTTTAAAACTTGCATGCTATAGAAGCAGATAATTATTTCCCTGCTGCATTTTATACCCTGGTTTGGGAAAGGAAGAAAGTTCTGAATATTGAAAGAAAGAAAAAGTTATGATTTGGGGACTATTCGAAATGGAAACAGAAAGAGGCGAGTAATGGGTGTCAGTCTGGTTATCAGTCAAGCTGCAAAGAGACAGCTTGTTCTGTCGAACACCAAGAATGTTAGTAGTCAGCCAACCACTTATGCAGGAAGAAAACTCTAGACTGAAAGGTAAGGTTCAAAGACATCTGTGTATGTTTCTGAAATGAGCCTGAATGAAGCTGGCTATTCAGTTATGCTTACTGATTATGTGTGTTACATATCTGATTCTTGTTTGTTACAGGCTGTTCATATGATTGGTAGTTACTTAATTTTTTGTTGCAGGATCTGTCTCTTTCTTTTCCAGTCTTGGATGCTTTTCATGTGTCCAGGGTTGATGTTGGGTGACTGTCATTTGTCAGAAGGATTAGCAGTGCCGTGGCATACTGGGGTTTTTTCCTCCCCCTTTTTTTTTTTTCCATTTTGTTTTCTTCTTTTCTGTTTTTCCTTACCTCAAGTAAATATGTTGTCTTTCTGTTTCCTACATGTTTATATGGTGAACTTCTTGCTGAATGTCTGTGGCTACCATCCTCTCAAGCTGGCCTAATGGTATGATTCATACACTTTCCCATGTGCATGGCTTGATTCCCTGCTTATGAGATCTCTTCAGGGTATATTGGCGGTGTGCTGGCTGTGGTTTTGTTTCTGTTTGCAAACAAATTTGTTCTTTTGAGTTTGTCTTGGTAAGTGCTATTTTCCACTTACCCAGAAAGAGGAGGCAGAGCTTAAGAGTGGATATTAGGGTACCTGCATAAATCTACTGATTCTGCAGCAGATGTGATATATAACTTGAGATAAGTCATGAAAGACAGGACCCAAAGAGGAGGCTGACAGAAGCTGTCTTCTCAGCTGCTGTGAGCTTCTGAGAACTTACTAAGGCCAAAGGGAGATTCTAGGTCCCTAAGGCAGTGCCTTAACTCCTTTGTAACTGCAGATCAGTTGTGTGTAAAGTGGGCATAATCCCTGAATTACAAAACAAAGGCTGTGTCTTTCAGGTAGTTTGAAATCCTTATGTAGGGCTGTGGAATCATAAATTATTAATCTTACTGGAGAGTATTTCTAGAGGTCACCAGTTCTAATAGTTTCTTTCAAATAGAAGTAGGTTCACTTAGAACAGTTTGCCCCCTATAAAATCTCTGACCTTGCCTATTCAAACTTCTTTACAAATGCATCATTTAATACAGGAAGCTCCTCAGGGAGGGTTCTTCACATCTGCCGTCATAATTTCTTATTTCCTAAATGCAGCAATTTGTACTTGATTATTCTTACAAGGATCGTGCCTCCCTTCCCTCCTCCTGCTCTAGCACATTCCTTTGTGCTGCTGCTTGTTCGGTAGCCTGAACACGGCATCTGAGAGTGTTTAAAATCCAAAATTTTCTTTGTTGTTAATTCTACCATTTCCTTACTGCTCAGTTCTAGGGGAGGGCATGAAGGAATCTGCTCTTTTTATTCTCAGACTGTTTTCCTGCCAGTTGTTAGTGACAGCAAGTTGTCATCATTTTACAGCCATTCAGCAACTAACAAAACTAAGCTGAATCCCTCATTTTAGTTTCCTAAGAACAAGATTTCCCAAAACAAAAATAGACTGCCACTTCTTGGAGCACTTAACATCTGTAGTAGTTAAGCAAAGACTAAAGCCCAGATTTTTAAAGATGCTTAGGTGCTTGACTGCCACTAGAACTGAATTGGACCTAAGTACCTGTAAATAGCTTTAAAAATTTGAGTGACTATTAAGACATCCGTCACTCTTGGCAGTGGTCCCTTCAGAATGAAAGTAAGGCGCAACAGCAAGGTCACATAAAATACTTGTCCTGCTTTCCAGCAACTGCATGTATTAAGTGACTTGCTGCATTCTGGCATGGTTTTTCATGAAATGCATCTTCTGAGGCAGATTACTTCTATTACCTAGAAGACAAGAGCCCTTGCTTGCATGAAAGTAAATATTTAAGACAGACAACTTTTAAAAAGGATGCAAAATTATACTGTAAAAATACCCACCTTTATATCTTATAATCCATTTTTTATTAAAACTGGGAAATAAAAGTAAAATTCACATTTAAATTACTTTCTGCTGTTTCTAGGGGATACTCTTTGCATTTTGGTTGATTTCCCTTTCCTGTTCCTCTGCCAGTTTTCAGTGCTGCTGTTCTAGACTTGCATAACCTTCAGGGAAAAACTTATTCCCAAGCATAAAACCTGTACGGGTTTTACTTTTTTTTTTTTTTAAATACTTAGTAACACTTAACTGTGTGTTAGCCTCTGAATTGCTTTCTTTTCCAGTGAATTCAGAATGTTGGGTAAGTGTTGACTGAGAAGAGAAACTGTTTGTAGGGGGCAGCCCTCCATATCTGTGTCACGACTTCCTTCAGTGATGCTATAAAACCAGGAGCAAGGGCACAGAAGGCATTTTGCTCTGTTCCTTAGGATGTAAAGAACAACCACTTGCAATGCTTCCTGGTAGTAAATGGTGCAAACTTTCTGAAGAATTGGTTAAACTGATTCTTGTTTGATTAACTCGCCTTTTCGTTGTACACAGCTGTGTATGGTGGGTTGTTCGTTTTTTTTTTTTTTTTAAGCAGAGTGGGGAATAAATATCGAGCAATGCAATAAAAAGGAAAGGAAATGATTAGGTTGAAGAAACACTGTTATTTGACACACCATTCTGAATGGCTGCCATACCTTTTAAGTGTCGTATTACATGTCTAAAATACTTGAGCAAGTTGCCCCTGTGTTCTTTAGCAAGTTTACTTCCTCTCCGTGCTTCCCACCCACAGCTAAAGTATGTTCATCAAATTGCTGAGTTGGAAAGGTTTGTGATGAGTTCTTGAGTCTATGTGTCTTCGCCCCTCCATATCCTCCCTTCATCTTCATCTCCATCTCATATTAAATAAAGCAATTCCAAACATATTAACTGTCAAACAGTTATGCTCCTTCTCTTCAATCTGCTTTTAGGTTTTTCGAAGGGGAGTGTGCTGATTAGGTAAGGAGATGTCATGGTCTTCTTCCGTCGATGTAGGAAGATAGCAGATATGATTGCCTGAAAAAGCTGAACTACGCAGTGCAAGCATGGCTTTCTCCCAGTCACACATTATGGCAGCTAGAAGGCATCAGCACAGTAGACTCATAATTGAAGTGGATGAGTACAGCTCCAACCCCACACAGGCTTTCACGTTCTACAACATTAACCAGGGACGTTTTCAGCCCCCACATGTGCAAATGTAAGTATTATAGTTTTGTTATTGCTCTAGAACAGCCTTCTGAATTGTTATTGCCTTGTCGTGTGGTATTTGATGGACCAGTCAAAAAGAATTCAAAGAACACCATTTTGCTGCCTTTCTAATAATAATTACTGTAATGATACAAAATCAGTCCTTTTGGAAAGGGCAAGTACTTTGTTAAAGGATGGGAGAAAGATCATTCATCTAGCATTACTTTAATACATAATACGTATTAAAAAGGGAAATAAACAACAAGCAGTGGTAATGAGAGATGCTACAAGAATACTTTCTGTGATCTTAATAATGTTTGTTTGCATTGTGCACTTACTTATTGATGTAAATAGCTGTTGAAAATACCATCCTGTCTCTGTACAACATATACTGTTTGGTTAGTTATATTACAGCTACATACAAGGGAAAAATCACATCAATAAATAAAATAGTGTGGGCACCCATCCGACAACTTACTTTCATACTGATGTGCTGAAGATGCCAAGTGCTTAAAGAGTAATTAAAATAATGTGTTTGTTTCTGACTTCTTATATAATGACAACATCAGTAAAATTAACTGCTCTAAATGATTTACTTGTAATGTAAAGTGGAGAATTATAATTACAAAATGAAACCTGCCATAAACTTTAAAGCCAGAAGGAAGAGCAAAACAGTAAAGCTATTACAAATAAATTAAGTATAAAAATCTACTGTAAAATATTTTTATAGGGAATAAAAATGTCTTCATCATTTTATTGTGTTTATTATAGAGAGAAGCAGCCTTCTCTTTAGATCAGAAGGCTGGTTTTCATTTTTTTTAATGGAAAGTTTTTTCCTTTGGGAAGACTGATAAATAATCACCTCATTCGCATTTTTGGTATTTAATATGATCTGATAATTTACAAACACAAGCCATGATTTCTATAGCTAAAAAACTCGTAAGTTGTGACTATTTGAATTCTGTGTGTCTGTTTAGTGAATGCTTATGTACATTCTTTGGCATAAATGAGATACTTTATTAAAAAAAAATCTGAAGACTGACATATATATCAGGGTAGTGAGCAAACCACTCAGGTTTTGGGGGCAGGGTATTAGCTCATGGTCTGTGTTGGGTTTTTTTAGATACTGTTGGAATGCAAACAGTAAAATGAGTAGAGTGTTAGCATTGGGAAACATCTTCTGTTTACAGAGCTGGCAAATGGTAGCAAAAGTACAAACAAACAAATGTGGGTTCAGAAATACTTTTACAAATGAAAATGCCAAGTGCAGGTTGCTTTATTTGCTGAGGCTTAGCTATTTGTGACTATTGAGACAGTTCTTGGGCACTCATGAATTTTTTCACTGGTCTTAAAAGCTGAATGTTTCCTACTGGACTGAAAATAAGTTATTTATTAGTATCCACTTAGTACTCAACAATATGCTGTTACAACTTCTAACCAGTAGCAAATCATATTACTGGAGGGCTTAGACAGTCAACTGCATGATAGAAGTTCAGCACCTAAGCAAGTAGTTGAAAATAAGCTATCAAGAGAAAATGGATCCTCAGAAGAGTTTAGCAATTTCTCATAAATGATTAATACTACTGAAGAAGCTTGTACAACTAGAAAAACAGGCTAAATCAATTGAAACATTTAACCACAATCTGACCTCCTCTTCTTCTTGGTACAGAAATTGTAAGTAATGTTGCTGAATACCAGCAGGATTGCTTTTGCCTGCTACCAATGAATAGAATAGTAACAAAGAAGGGAAAAGTAGACATAAAAAGTGTAACAAAAGCACCTTTTATTCCCGATTGTTATGGGTGAAATCTTAGCCCTGCTTTAGTCCATACAAGTTTTGTCACTGACTTCAGAGAGGTGAAGGCTTTCCTGTGTCTTTGTGTATGGTTCAAAATACCTGTATTAGTGATGTTGAAGGCAATTGTAAACAGATTTCACATAGACTTGTTAACATATGAACTCGTAGTAAACTAACTACAGGGAGTTTTGTGCTCCTTTTATTCTGAATTCAGTCTTGCAGCTCTTCCTTGGTCCTTCGTGCAGTTCTGTATTTCTTGTTTCACTTTTAGCACCCATAACATGCTGAGAACCTATTCATAGCCCCATCTTGGTCTGTCATACCTGTGCTTGTGTGGTGATTGGGTTGCCACTGACAAGGGTGGTAAATTCTGGCAGTGCTTTCAAGTCTGTCACTTGCGTCTGGAAAGTTCCTGTCTTGCTCCTTTGTGAAATCAATGAGACCTAATATATAAACTAACTTCTGGCAGTGGTTTTGCTCTGAGATTTTTTGACTTTGCTTTTCAATTTCTCTGCAAGTTTTCATACGAGTTTAAAGAAAAGCAAAAGCATTTGCACAAAAATAATCAGCAGATCTTTAATCCTCTGCTCAAGCTGCAAGCAGTGCATTGGGTGTTGGTGTGACAGCTGCTGTGGGAATGCATTACACAAGATTATGGGGATGAAGCCTTCAGAAATTATTTCCAGTAATACAACTTAGATGCGTTTGTGAAACTTGACATATGTTTTTACCTATATATGGCCTCAGTATGTGCTTATCACTTCCATGTGAAAAATCTGCATCTCGTTTGTTTTTTTCTTTTTTTATTGATGCTTTTTTCCCCATGAAAATTCTCTGGCCCATTGCACATGTTTTAAAAGTTATATATACTTCAGCAGCCAGGAACATGTTGTCCACATCTTCCCCATCCCCATTCAAACTATAAGAAAAAGCATGTGTATTATGTGCTGCATGGGTTGCCATGGTAAGTCTGTTGTTTTTTCCATTCAGCCACAGAGGAGCAACATGTGAAATGCATGCTACTCCCCAACACCCAACTTACTGCTGTGCTGAGATTTCTGAAAGAGAAGCAGCACCCGCTTTAAAGGCTGCCCTACCATGGAAAGTCAAAAAGTGGTATTTTAGACCGGTCCATATTCTTATGTTGTACCAGGGTAGTAAGCATAATTTAAAGCTGGGTTACTACTATGACCCATAACGCACATGGTGGACAGCAAGAACAATAATCAGAAATTTGTTTACTGAACTAATGTTTAATCTTTTTAGCTTGTATGGGTAAAGTGATAGGCAGGATCATCATCTCATCATTTTATCTATCCATCACAGTTCATTTTGTGGAGGAACTCCATGAATTGAATACATTACCCATCACACCTTATGATAAGTCTCACTCACTAGTCTAAAACCCTGCCATTCGCCATCCATATTCCTTTGCAGCCCTGCTACTTCCACTCACCGCCCATGGAACTTGCTCTATGGCAGCTCTATTCCCTCCAAAACAGAGGTGGTTTTAACACATGATGGCAGTAATGCAGCTGCACGGTTGATACTGTGGCCTCCTATGCCTAATTCCTCCTGCATCTGACTTTTTTTTTTGCCTACCCTTCTACACGTGCCTGTCGTTCTCTTGTAACGTGCACACTCCCTCAGCCTTACATGCAGTGTTTGCAGCTGCTCTCTCAGGTCCAAATGTTCCACTCTTTGTAAGCTAAGTTTTACAACTTGAAGTACATGCTTGCTTACATATCCCACTAGCATATATATACTTCTGGGTATTCATTAGGTATGATTTGACCACAGCAGGTTTTACTCCTTACTCCCTGTTTGGTTACTTTCTGCTCAAAACCTGGAACTTCAAAAAGACAACTACAGGGTACTTGTGCTCAAAATCTGTTTCTCCAGGACTGCTGTAAAAGCCCCAACATTTCTTCTTCCTAAAAAGGTGTAGGAAAGACTGGTATGAAATAATTTGTTCATACTCTAGATGCGTAGTTATATTATGGAAAATGCTAAGAACTTTCTCTGTATTTAATAAGATTTGAATGTTTTAGATTTATTCCTCACTCTCTTACTAGTCTCATGGGGTTGTCAAAACCACCTCAGTTTACCAGCGTATAAATTTCATAGAATTGTTTGACTTGGAGAAAAGATTATGTGATTATAAATATTCTTATATCTTTCAAGCAATAAAATGCCTTTTGAAAATTTACCCAGTAAACAGGGGTAGTATTATTAATAGCAAAGATCTCTAACTTTCATTCTGAGTTTATTTATATAAAAGTAAGCTCTTGAATTGAAGCCCAACCAGCAAGGGATAAGGATATGTATTACATACTACAACACTGAACCAAACTAATTTTATTTGTCCTTTCAAAATATATTTTGGAAAGGTAAAATAATTCATAACAATTCTTTATCTCTTTCTGTTTTCTAGTGACATAAATATAATTCTTGCATCTCTGGCATTTAAATTTTATTCCACGAGAATTCCCTAACTGGAATAGCAGATATGGTATAGCTGCATATAGATATGTTTGCTTATATATATTTTAACAAAATATGGATTGAGGGTAAAGAGACTTGAGTTGAAAATCAGTATTCCTCATATAGCAGAGGAGTATTCTCTGCTTTCGTCTTCTAAACCATGTCTCATCAAACTGGGTCAGATCTTTTAGTTTCCTCAGTTTTGAATATCGAGATTGGGCTCTGAACAATGCAGCTTCACCCCTCACAGCATCTGATTTCATTTAGTATAATTAAACCCAGAAAGTTGCCACATTTATCCTGAAATAGTCAGACTCGAATGTACATTTACAGCTGTTGTCAGGAGAGTTCTTACGCTGCTTTACATTAACACACTGAAACATATCTCCAAAATGTGTTAATTAAATTTGCTGGAATTATGTAACTCTCAGGAAAAAAAAAAGTTATAATTGGAAAAAATGCATTTAAATGTATTTATGTATCTAAAATAAATCTTTTCCCTGTATACTGTGTAATCATATTTAAACAGTGAAACGGGATAGTAAGTATTCCTTTGAAACTGGTGATGCCTTTGATTTATTTGTATTTGTGTCAGAGCAACTGCCATAGTCCAGTCTTTTTTCCTTAATCTCTTTAAATTAATCCATCTACCCAACAAATACTGAAAATGTTGTGATGTGAACATCAAGAATTTTTACACCTCCCATTAGTGTTAGGTTTGTTTTAATAAATCCCTTCCATCAGCCAGATCTAGAAGTCTGTGTAATCTTTTGTAAAGGTAAAAAATAGTATTAGAACTGCAAAGTAGACACTAAGAAGTACATAAGTACTTTATAACCTTGTTATGATACATTTCCTACAGGGTTGATCCGGTGCCCCATGATGCTCCCAAACCTCCAGGATATACACGATTTGTCTGTATTTCTGATACTCACTCAAGAACTGATCCCATCCAAATGCCATATGGAGATGTGTTAATACATGCTGGTGATTTTACTGAGCTGGGACTTCCTAGTGAAGTAAAAAAATTCAACGAGTGGCTAGGTAGGTATTGAATTCTGTGTGGATTTGACAGTAAATTTGTTTACTGATTGTATCTGCCCCTTCTGCCTCTTCAGTAAAAGCCATCATGCACTCAGAAATGATGAATATTAATTAGACCGTTAAATTTCAATGGCAATCAGCAGGAGTCAGATTTTTTTTTTTTTTTTACAAATATTTTTGCATTTTTCCAACTGAGCAAATAAGATTTGTGAGACAATTCATCTGTTCTGCCTTCACACTCTCAAGTGTACATTAAGCAACTTCTTGGTGTTAGCAACAATTTAAGTCAGTAGGCCTTTAATGATTTACATAAAACCTCTTACATACATTGTTACGGCTTTGCTTCCTTCCCAAAAAAAGTTGTTGTGACTGAAAACATTTGTCTGTTTAACCCTGGAGGCTCATAGTTGTTTTTTTTTTTTTTTTATCTGAGTCTCAGCTGCACCACGGTGATGAATTCCAAACAAAGCAAAACGTGTGCTGGTGGTTGCTGTCTTGGATGTAGCAGACCAGATGTAGATGCCTTCTGTAGGCAACTGTTGGCACTGGTAACTGAAATTCTGTTCCGCTGGGCAAGAGAGTGGTGATTTACATGTGCTTCTGCAACATTTTGTATATGCTAAAAAAAAAAGACAGTGAAAATGGGAAAACATATCCAGACAAAAACCCTGATCAGTATTGTTCCTGCAGTAGTGTGGATACCTTAATTTAGAATGAAAATGGCTTCTGGATTCTGAGACTTCATTATCAAAAAAAGGGTGAGAGGAAATGAAGGAGTTGCTGAGAGAGAGGACACAGTTTAAGAGTAATGGATTTCAGGGTTTAGGCTTATTTTCTTTCTTGTAGTTGATATTTTTGCATTATTCCTATCTTTTTTTTGCTACATATTACAGCATTCCACATTGAGAAGGCACGAAGCAGACAGATACATGTAGGCTGAAATGGAATATAAAAAAAAGTCAGGACTTTACAATTTAATCAAATATTTACTAACAAATAAAGACTAGCAAGGCTGATAAATACCTATTTGAGCTTGGGAACCCAATAACATGCCTCACATGGAACAACTGCATTGTTTTATGAGTGCTAAGGTAGGGACAGCATGTGGAAGTAACACACTGGTATAGTGCCCTCACCTCTGTCTGTATCATTGAATCATAGAATGGTATCCAAATGGAACAGGTTGGTTGTAAAACAGAAAGCAAATTTTAATCCTATTTTATTGGTCTCTATCATGTAGTATAATAATGTACTGAAAATAGCATAAAAAGATTACACAAATCATATGGTTATCCCTTCTAAATAATACCCATTTTATTTATCTGCTGATGTGGGAAGAAAAGTGCTTTGGGATATTGTTAGCAAGCAAGGATGGTGGCTACACACATTACTTGCTGCACAGTTTTTGTCTCCCTTGTTCTCCATCTGCCTCCCTGCTGGTCACAGCTGTACAGTATTCTGAAGAAGTCTGTAAGCTGAAAGACTCTCAGTGTAGTAGGGAAATTTCCCAAGGCATTTCTGTGGTGGTCTCTTCATCATTTTTATTCCAAAAGAAGGTTTCATTTTCTGACTTTACAGGCATGGTCCAATTTTATGGAAGCACACGCAGTTTGGGAAAAGGTGATCTTGGTGGTTTGAGCTATATCTTTGCAAGAGCATCTTTGAGATATGCAAATTTAGCAAGTGGAGTTTTTTTCAGTTTCTTGGCAATTTGAAGAAAGGGAAAATTTAACTTATTTTTTAAATTCATTCTGGAAGATCCAAAAAATAGTTTGGCGTCATGATGTTGGTTTCATCAGCTAGCATTTAAGGTTTTGTTCCAGTTCAGAACTGTAAACTATTTCTTTAAATTGCAGTCAGTGAGAATTCAAAATGGAAACTTTAGCTTTTCTAATTATTTTTTTTTAATGAACAATTCAGCAACACTGGAATACCCTGAATGTTTGCAAAATCTGTAGTAAACGGTAGTATGATAAAAGTGTTCTCTTTGAGAAGAAGAAATTTATAAAGGTTTTGCTAGTTGTGCATCTTGTTGTGAAAGGCACTAGTCTGCAACAGTTTTGATTTTTCTAGATAGCTGCTTCAAGTACCTTCCATGATTTTGTAACTCCCACAGCTTATCCAACCTTCTCCTTCTTCCTTATCTTAACATTTGACTAGTTTCTTGAGAAAGCAATTGACAGACTCTAACATGGAATTTTACCTCCAGCATCATTCTGACGTGCTGCCACCAAATTTCTCTGGCTGTTCCTTCATCCCATAGCATAGGGCTTAGCTTCCCACTTAATTATTTTGTTCTGTGTCAAATCTATGTCTTCTGCCATCATTAGACTATAACTTTGTTTATGCCTTGGAATAAATGCTAGAATATTGGTTTGTTACACTTTCCCTTGATCTCAGCTTCTTCTTAGGCACTAGATTCATATCCTACTACTCCTTTTTCTCCGTATCTTTATGTGTAGCATTGATTCCTACCTTTTAGCTTTCTGTTCCATTGTATCCTCTTGGGTCTATGCCACTCTTACCTATCAGTGTATTCCATGTTTTCAGTAGGCCCTTCAGCAAGTTCAGATTTTATCTTTCTGCTCTACATAAAATTTCTGTGCCTGTCTGATGCAAAGTATATTTTACATTAACATCATTAACTTCCATGGATCTTATGGTTATATGGACCACATGCTCAAGTGTTGTGCTAATAGAGGCACGTTGGCTTGCTGAGTCATACCGTAAAATATGTTCTCTCTTTTTTAGGCTAACTGTATGTGGGTACACAGGAAGGCCTATACCAGCTCAGATGATGTGTATGTCTAGCCCAGTATTGTCTTTGACTGTAGCTAGCAGCCAAGGTGCTCTGCTTTGTCTGCCCCTTAGTCATCTACTTTTGTATTTTTTACCATCTGCCCCCTAAACCCCTCCACTTCATTTAATTTCACCATGTTCTTTTTGGTAATTTGTTCTTTTCTTTCACTTTTCTTCCCCCTCCACCCCCCCTGCTTCTCAGGGAGGGATTTGAGGTTTTACTAGGGCTAGATTGATGCCTAACTCTATGGGGGAGATGAAATGCTGATGATAACTGGATGTGCATATATTGTCAGTTTTCTCTAGTAGGCAGTCCAGGGACTTCCTGAGCCACAGCATTACTTTGTTTTCAATATATAGATCTTTCTTCTTAGTTTTTTAATTGCCTTTTGGATCTGTGTAAATTTTGAGTGTGAACAATCTTACATCAGAGTTCCATGAAGGTGTCCCTGCCCATGGCAGGGGGTTAAAACTAGGTGATCTTTAAGATCCCTTCCAACCCAAACCATTCTATGATTCTATGATTGTGTTGTACTGTGCTTATTTTGAACCTGCCACCTACTAGCGTCATATGGTATTTCCTAGTACTGGAAGAGACAAGTGAACAATTTCATAATTTCATTCTTCATTCTGCTTAAGAATTTATAGGCTCTTCCCATATCTGCTCTTAAGATATTTTTCAGTCTAAAGTCTGTTTAGAAGCCCTTAAATGCCTTTGATCATATGTGTCACTCCTTGTACACTTTTGTTCTATATCCTTTCAAAAACAGTGAGACATGAGCTGAGAACACCACAGGTTTATCCCCTGGCATAATGAAATTTCCTAGTTTGGTCTCTTTTCCTCTCTAGTGTTGTGGATTATTCTGTTTTTATTTTTGACTGTGACTGAACAATGAGATGGCATTTTCATAAAATTGCCTGTTCGAACTCTATGAACTCCTTACTGAATGGTAATATCTAGTTCAGAACCCATCAGTGTGTATCTGTAGTTGGTATATATTTTCCTGCACTTGAATTATTCTGCATAAATTTATGTTCAGTTTCATCTGTCCTGCTATTGCCCAGTCATGCAGTTTCATGATGTACTTTTGCAAGTCAGGTTTCTGTTTTGCTGCCCTTATTCGGGATAGCTTAGAAAAAGAGGGGAAAAAGGAATGGTCAGTTTACAAGGCTTGCTGATGTGCCAACCTGACAATTTCCCTCCCTTTTTCCCTGAATTAACCTTTCTTCTGTTCTTATAATTTACCTTTTCCTTTTTTTAAACGATTTCCTCTCTGACTGTATTTTTCTTCAAAATCTGAAAATCCAATTCTAGAGAATCTGAAAAAATGAAGTATAAAATATGTATTATGGTAGGGCTGAACAGAAGGGCATGAGGCCAGTGAAACTTTCTAATGACATTATAAGGATACATGGTATGACAGCTTTGAACACAAGCTAATTTTCCAGTGTGCCCAGGAGATTTTAGGGACATCACTTTAAACAGCTGAAAATAATTCTGGGGAATTGTTTCTCAATACATGGACCTGGTAGAGGAGGTCCAGAGGAGGTCCATGAAAGTAAGCAGAGGGCTGGAACACCTCTCGTATGAAGACAAGCTGAGAGAGTTGGGCTTGTTCAGCCTGGAGAAGAGAAGGCTCTGGGGAGGCCTTATTGTGGACTTTCAGTGCCTAAAGGGAGCTTCTAAGAAATCTGGAGAAGGACTTCTTGTAAGGGCCTGTAGTGATAGGACAAGAGGCAGCAGTTTTAAGCTGAAAAAGGGGACATTTAGATTGGTTATAAGGAAATGATATTTTACAGTGAGGCTGGTGAGGCACTGGAACAGGTTGCCCAGAAAAGTTGTGGATGTCCCATCACTGAAAATGTTCAAGGCCAGGTTGGACAGGGCTTTGAGCAACCTCGTCTAGTGGAAGGTGTCCCTGCCTATGGCAGGGGGGTTGGAACTAGATCATCTTTAAAGGTCCCTTCCAACCCAAATAATTCTGTGATCCTGTGTAATCAAGGTTAGATGAGGTAGATTGCAGGTGAGGATTCCACTGGTGTCCTCACATTGACACCAGCCTCTGCATCCCATTGCCATGTATTGTTGACGTCCTGGCTTAGTGGTTAGTGCAGGGGAAAACATCCCCTTTAGCATCATGATTTGTAGCAGAACATCCTTTAATGTGAGGGTGGTGAGGCACTGGAATGGGTTGCCCAAG